TAATGTCGTCCATTCGAGGGATAGATTGCGTCTCCGTGTCGTTCCAGAAGGATTATAACCGATCACCGTCCATCGGTAGAAGATCCTCTTCGTTCATTAGGTGTTGTTTCGAGGCTGGTTTTAAAAAATTTTTGTTTTGCTAATTCTGCAGTCGATAACAATGATTTTTTCATACCCGTATATTTCATAGTTTGAACTAGGAGGTTTTATAAGCTTGTCTCGTTTTTCAAATGTAACTGATGGGGACGTTCTATCTCGAAGTTGATATCGTTCTTTTGAGTGCTCTCGTGAGTCGTTTCGATAATTAACTTCTTTGTTATTATATTTTTCTCTTAGCGCTGAGTTATAATTGTCTCTTGAGTGATGTCCACTTGATCGAGTGTATCTATCTTTGGGTCGAGTTTCTCTTCTCTCTCGTTCTTTTCTTTAATCGGCATATTCATATGTTTGATCGGTGCGATTTCTAGCACGAAGTCTTTCGTCTTCGCTTCTTTTTTGCTCCTCATACATTGCTTACTGATGTGCTATGGGTAAAGTGTGTGGTTTCTGCTGTTGCACGGCAGTGTGTTTCCAATTATTCCTTATCGAAAAGTTCTACTACTTGTTGTGCTCTCCTTTTCAATTTTGACGATGCACCTTTCTGATTAAAGCAGAGATAGCTGGATCCGAATCTAGTTGTCTGCTGATTCTTATTATTTGGTCAATAAATGCGGAGACGTCTGTGGACCCGTCGTATTCTTTTATCTCTGTTAGCAGCTCACGAATAAATTGATGGTCTTCCCGTGTTAGCATTCCTCTGTAAAAATGTAGTCGCGCGGATATATCTTGGACTGCAGAGGGATCATTAGGAGGCAAAGACGGCGCTGAGGCAAGAATTTCCCCTTGTTCTTGTGGCATCGTTGATGTTGCTTCATTTTTGTGCATCTCCTTGATAAGTTTATTAAAAGGGGGTATCCTCGTATAGATGGCCAAAAATGTAAGGAAACTTTAAAAATTTTTTTTCAGGAAACTAATGGATATTTTGATTTGAAATTTTGACAGTAATTTATTTTTGGTTTGAAAATACAAAAAAAAATTTTTTTACAATAAACAATTTAATAACTTTTACGTAGTGACGTCATCAACTTGGGAACCTTTTTTTCACCCTAATTTATGTAAGGGCTCACGGGTGCTACATCATCCTGAAACATAAAAATCGATTGTTTTTATCATTATTATAATAAAATGTCGTCGATGAACCTAATCTCCACTTTATAAAATTAAGTCAAATACGCGATTCACACTATATCAAATTCAATCCATCACTCGTTACTCTACTCATACTTTACCAAATAAAATCAATCACTCTGTTACACTTCATATATTTATATCACTTCCGCACGAACGGCCATTTCGTTTCTCGTTCTATAATTTTAATTCAAGTTGTTCGAAATCTCAAACGGTTTGCGCATTTATGGGCGACTCACGCTAGGTTATGCTGATTTGGTAGCTGAGCTGATCACGTCCCCAAAGACGACGATGGTGGAAAAAACCTTCTTTCCATGCTGCAACAGCCTCACAGCCCAATTGTTTTCCGCTGATCCAATAACAACACTAAAGACCAACTCAGGACTATACGTCTCTTCGCCAAGCAGGAAATGTGGAGCTCTCTCAGGTGTTGTCACTTCGACGGCGGGAAACGGAGTTCTCCCCGCTCCGCGGTTTCAGCAACTCGCTAAACAAGCCTCGGCATGAAGTTGCTCGCGAGACATGGTCGAGCGAGCCATCGATCGCACCCTCAGCGAGATCACTCGTTTCATCTTATCGATTCGTCACAAAGCAACTGACTTCCACTTTGTTTCATTGAAAAATATTAATTGAAATCAAATATATTTATAGAAAACCGCTCTGAGAGATGATTTTCGAGGGTGGCTTTCACCCCTTAGAAAACTTTTTCCGACAATGAAAACAACACCTATCTTTCATTTTTTAATAAGCTATAATTCATATCCAAATTGCAGCAAATTCGAAGGCGGATGGTTAGGAACGTTCCCTTGTTAGTAGTGGTGCTTTTATTTAAATACATTGCCATGCATTTTACTGTTATTTATGTAAAAACTATGATTTGTAACAACATACTAAAATGAGATTCCGTCAATTATAGTATATAAAGTGCGTTGAACTAATATATTTTGTACAATATTGATTATAAAAAGCATGCTAAAAATATGTCTGATGTATTATCGTTCTACTTTTATAATAAATAACTAAAAATATAAAACCTTAAATAAAAAATACATTTTGTACGTGTCATCAATAATTTTTGGAAAGCCCGTATTTACCTAATTTGGGTTTTAATTTGCTGTTTCAATATTCTATAATAAATCCTTGCACAGATTATAAGAAAGATAGATAACCTAGAAAGTCTCTATTAAAAATTGCTCTATTAAATATCGCGACATTGGAATTGACGAAATATTAAATCTTAAATACGAAAACTGAAATAAAAATCCAAGAAAGTCACCTCCGGAAATACACAAACTAAATGTGCGGTGCTGCTAGGTGATATTGCAATACCAGTCGTAGGCGTACGCGGACCTCTCATCAATTTGAGATCGATGTCCTTCTTTTGGTTCTCTAAGCTTCGTTCTTTAGTCCATTTCACCATGATCCATCTAATGATCTCAACAGATCTTCAAATTACTCGAAACAACAAGAAGATAGAATCATACTTGACCGAAATATTAGGCACATTTGAGTTGAATTCTTTTCTTAAGAGATTAAGATATATTTTTATATACTTATATATACTTCTATTATGGAATTGTAACGTGTTTAATTAATTTACAACGTACAACAAACTTTGCATTTTACATAAAGTAATTTTGTGATACAATATTGATTACAGGTAACAATTTAATAAATGAAAATGAGTTTTTATATTTGTAATATGCATTGATTAAAAATGATTATACAAATTATTTATATGAAGTAAGAGACACAATTTCAATTTTATTTATTTACACAAACAATTTAAATTAATTTTTAGGTTTCATTGAGAAGTATAATTTAAAAAATATAAATAATAAAATAATTAGTAAATATAATTAATAATAAATATTATATCTTTGTTGGATTACTTATTATAGGAATTATAGAACAACAGAGAAAGAGAGAAAACGAGAGTTCCATATCTGTAAATGTTATAATTTTTATTAGAAAGTATTGTATTTTATAGCGAAACATTTAATAAATATTCTATGACTCTCTTCTCTCGCTGGAATCCCTTATCATATGTATTCTTGTCTAATCTAAAGTAAATACATTGCTTTACTCAACTGGCTTAATCAACTTTATAGAATATTTTCTTTATTTAATAATTGAATCTTTATGAAGATAAAGGTTCTCATCGTACCATTCCTCGCATCCTGCGCATTCACGGACACGTCCAATAGATGTTAAACAAACAATATTCAATTTAAAAAACAATTTGTTTTTTAAATTAAATGAGTTTAGTACGCGTCCGATGTCTCCTTGTGTAGAAAGTTTCTAATCATTATTTCTTAAATCATCTTCGACCTTGATCCATTTTTCATTTTTTCATTTTTCATTATTGAGCTAGTATAAAAATTACAGATGTTGTACGCTGTAATGTTCCATCAACTGCAGTTAATTAGCATCGAACGAGAAACATGCTTTATCCAAAGACCGTATGATATACATAACAGTATAACATTATTTTTAAAGTAATTAAAAATTATAGATTTAAAAAGCATAATAGTTTCTTTGAGGGAATCGACTATAACATTTAATAGTGAAATAAAAAAAATTTCGTAAAAAGAAATCTAGAAAATAGTTGAATATAACTATACTCACAAGTTTCTTCTGTTCCAGTTTTTCAAGGTGAATCTTGTTAATAAGTGATTTTAATTATGAATTTTATTAGTGTTTTTATAAATTATAAGCTATTTGTTTATTTATTTTTTTGTTTACAATTCAAGCATAAAAAGAATTTTACTCAAAATTTAAACGTTTTATAAAAAATGAATCATTCTAGAGTTCATACATCACAATTTATTGATACAATCGAATCATGATAGTTTTATTTCCATAAATAAATAAAAAACTACATGTAAAGCTTTTAATTTAAATTGTTCAATATAATATATTATAGTATAGTTTAATCGCAAAATTAAGTACACGGTCGGAATTTGGATTCGTTCTAGCAACGACAAAATCGTATTTAAGATAAAGATAAATGATGTTTAAAAAATAAATTATAGATGTCCGAAAAAATTTTTGAAGTTATTAAATCTTACAGCGTGTGCCATTGAAAAAAAAATATTTTTTTGTTAAGTAAATATGCACGAGTTACAACTTACACTTAATTTTATACTCTTCTATACTAACCGCACCTAATATAATATTGATGTCTCCGGGACCATTTGTTTGATAGAGAAAAACAAATTTATGTAACTAAATCCATAATTGGAGCCATTATTTCAATTTATATATAAGAAAAAATTGCAAAAAAATAGGATAGAATTTCATGCTGCTATTCCCTTCGTAATGGTTTCACTCATTACAATTTCACAATAACTTCATTATTGTTACACGTCTTAAATTAATTCTCGTACTTTATTTTTATAATGTTTAGGAAGTTATTGGAGAGAAAGGATTGCAATATTTTCTAGTGAAACGTTATAGATGAAACTTTTTCAATTTATTGTTTTAAACTGGGATTTTTTTTATTTATGAACATTTTCAAAAGTCAATTCAATTTCTATAATATTCATCAGATCTTTTTTAAGCTCACAAAACACTAAACAAAATTAGCTAGATCAACAAAAAAATTTCAAAGGCTTTAAAATGAGTAACAAGGAAATTAAGTTGTGAGATTAATCGATATATGAGACAATAAATGTATTATCGATGTAAAAAGTGTAAAAATATAACCAGAATATATATATAACTATTACACGATATATATGATCGGATAGTGATTTTTGCAAGAAGGTTAGTTTCTGTGTGAGTTCTCGCGCGCACGCGTAAACGTTTGGATAGATATAATAAAGCCACGTCAAATTCCAAGTTTATAAAAACATCGTCAGGATTATATTTACTCGCAATTTATATGTACATGCAGGGGAAAGCTTAAAATGACATTTAATTTTGCAAGACATTTATCAGACTATTTGAATTAATCTATAATTTTAAACTATTGCAAGCTTTAACAAATCAAGTAAATATTGAGTATACTCTGATTACAGCATACCTATACATACGTTTGTATTTATCACTGTGTCCAATATCGTACCTATAGTAATTAATGTGAACCGTCAATTTGCAACACGTTTTGCTCTAAACACTTGTACTATTTTACATAGCAATTTCTTGTTGACATTTGGAAAATTGCTTGCATAAGCAATGTCTTTTGAAGGGAAATATAATGCCAAAAGCCCAGGTAATGTTCTTCAATTAGACCTATTTTAATTTTAACTTTGGTTTTATATATTTCAATATATTTTGTTTCATTTGATAAGACCATAATCATTAAAAGTACAATGATATTGAGGACGAATATGTATCAGTTCTAAGAAATAGCTATAGAAATTCAAGTTCTAATTTTTTATATTATTGCAGCTGTTAAAAGATTAATGCGAGAAGCTCAAGAATTACGTGATGCAACTAATGAATATTATGCATATCCATTAGAAGAAAATCTTTTTGAATGGCATTTTACAGTTGAAGGACCACCAACGACAGATTTCGAAGGTGGTGTTTACCATGGTAGAATCTTGTTACCACCAGAATATCCTATGAAACCTCCAAATATTATTCTTTTAACGGTCATTCAAATTTCATTAATTTGAAATGGTATCAAACTATGTAACTTTTACTGAACTTATTATTTACTTTTTTCAGCCCAATGGAAGATTTGAAACAAATAAAAAAATATGTTTGAGTATTTCTGGTCATCATCCAGAAACATGGCAACCTTCATGGAGTATAAGAACTGCTTTACTTGCTTTAATTGCATTTATGCCTACTCTTGGTAATGGAACAATTGGTTCTTTAGATTATAGTGCTGAAGAGAGACAGAAACTTGCAAAAAAGTAAATAATTATATTTTTAAAAGACAGATGAATATTATTATTGATTATATATGATCATTTACAAGAGTGCAATGTTTAACTGAAATTGATGTCAATTCATAATTATAATTTAATTAATATAACATTGCCATTACTATAAAAATATGTATTTATTACACATCAGTATTCAGATTGTAGTATGATTTATTATTTTCAAAAGTATGCTACATTGATTGAACTAATTATTATTTATTTTTTTTTAGATCATTAAGCTGGCGATGTGATAATTGTGGTAAAATAGCAGATTTATTGTCAAAAGAAAAATCTAAAAAGCCAATCACAGAGGAAGAACAACATATGTTAGACACAATTGCTTTGAAGGTTAAATGTTATCGTTAAACACAAATACTCATTCTCAATTTCTTTATTAAACTTACATTGAACATATAAATGATTACAGGCTGATGAATCAATGCCAGTAGATATTTCATATACGCAAAATACAGAAATTACTAATGACGGTGAATTAAGGCATAGAATTCGCGACGAAAGCTCTAACACAGACCATGAATATATTGAAACAATTGTAAATCCTCAAGTTGAGGTGATGTCTTCTTCTAACGATTTTATTTGGAGAATGCTTACTATAGCTTTAGTTTCTGCAATAATTTTTCTCATCTTGCGAAGATTATTCTTAGTTCAATGAAATTCATATTGGTGAAAAACTAAATGAATTATATGTATGTTTATGCCAGTATAAACATGTATAAGTACATTACTTAAAAAACAGATGAATCTTTTATATACATACCATCCTTAATTTTTGAACATGTAGTACCTAATAATATTTTGTATATGTATAAAAGTAACATTTTATAGAAATTATTTTTAGTTTATAATATAACAAAAATAGCTTACTTTTCGCTTATTGGTCACCTTTATTAATAAATTTTGAAAAATTTTAAACACTTCCTTTAATTTTAACAATATAAAATTAAAATATTATTGAGTACACTAATATTTTTAAACTTTAATGTTCCATGGTATGTGCTACAAAAAAGCTAGCAGAGAAAGTCTTATTTTTCAAAATATTATATCGAATGTAAAGTATTATGCAAATACTCTGTTGATGAATACGATGTGATTTTATTTGCTGTTGTAATTTTGTTGTGTATGTTCATATGTTTACCATTCAATTCAACTTATATAAAATATTTTCATTTAATAAAGTTACAGAATAACAATAACTGCATTTAATATTTTTCAACCTAGTTTTCCTGAGCAATTTCTAAAGAATTCCAATGTTACACTTGAAAATAATAATCTTTTATGCTGATTATTCTAATAAATTTAATAAGTTTAAGAATAATATATTTAATAATAGATATGAAGATCGTCACAAAAATAGAATAACTTTCAAATTTTTAATCATATTTATTTCTTCTACCATCAAAAAATATTCTTATAAATGTTTCATTATATAAACTTTTTTCTGTTACAAAGGCAACCAGTGGTCTAACATTAATTATATTGCATTTTTTAATTAATATTTTTTGCGTCTTTTAGAAAAATTTTGTTTTTTGTTCTTTCGTGGTTGCATATTTGCCTATAAAAGGATTAAGATTGCTGTTGGAATGTTTAGTAAATTACACATGGATCTTGCAAGATCAGCAGACTATCTGAATGCAAGCAGCCATAATAAATATTTTTCTTAATTGGTATTCTATGCACATTACGTTTAATGAACTAATGTGCATTAAGTTTCTGAAAAAAATTCTATTTTCAAAGTTCTGGATGCAAAATTTGATTGTAAAGTTTATATTTAGATTTTCAACTTAAAATAAAAGCCTGTCCTAATTGATGCAAGTCTCATGTAAAAAATATTATTTACGTTAAAATAATTAAATTTTGCATAAAAAAATGTTAGATAATTCAATACTTAAATTTTTCAGATGTGAACAATTTTTGCTAATCTAAACAATGAAACTAATTTTTATAAATTTATTCATCTAAATGATATATATTTTTATTATACTCTTATCTAAACAATAAACCTATCCATTTTTAATTGTTACTTTTGGTATATGTTTTATATATACATACGTATGTTAATTTATTTATTATAGTTCTTGAATAATCTTTTCTTCTTCAATTACATTATTAAAATTTTTATGAAGAAAAACAATCATTGATAAATATTATATGTGTAACAAATTTGATTTCTTTGTAATATTATAGAAAAAAATATGTTCAGAAAATATGTATATTTATGAAATCTATTAAGGAATTTACATAATCTTTCTTATTCGATACTTACAAAAATATAATCTAACAAAGGCGAAATTGTTTCATTTTCTGTTAACTGGAATTAATCCATTCTGCAGTTTCTTCAAGAGCTCTATTAGTTAAGCGTTCAATTTCAGTTAAGAGTTTATCAGTCTCAACATCTTCATTATCAGCTTCTTCTAAATCCCATTCTAAGCTATTAGGAGTGGACAACTGAAACCAAGGTAAAACAGTCAAACTATTATTTACTGTTGGTTCACTTAATAATTGATCCAGATTTTGCAATTGATTATTTTCAATTACTGTAGGTGTTGGCATTCCTAAAATAAATAATACAAAATAAGTAATTAAATAAAGAAATAAAATAATTTATAGATGATGCTACCTTCATTTTCCCATTCCAAATCTATAGAAGATGTAGGTGTGAATGAAACACATCCTTGATTCATTATCAGTCCAGAAGCATCTAATACTTGCAATGGATCATCAAGACCAACCCTGTTCATATATAATTTAAAAATTTGATTATTATATAAAATGTTGATGTTTTATAGTGTTATAAATATAGCTAACTTTGTAAATGTATTTTTATTATTAAATCTTTTATAACTATTGAATAAATTACTGTCTTCAATTAATTCCAATGCTATAGGATATTTACAAGTTTGCTGTAACAAACAAATTATGAAATTTTAGAAGTGTATCTTCTAAAATAATTAATTATAAAAAATTGTAATTCTACTGCAATTTAATATTGGCTTTGTCTATGTAATTGCAATGTTCATTTAATCTATATACTTGAGTAGTTAAAATAAATTTGAAATATTTACCTTGAATTTTTTCAAGGAGAACAAAGACAAGAAGCTATCAAAATAGTTCAGTTTATTAATGAAAATAATATATTAATTCATATGATGATCAATGAGCCAATGAAACATTCATTAATAATTTTTAAATGATAAAAGTATTTTCTTACTTTTTAGATGAGTTTGAAAGATTAATATTATGCTTAACTGTAGAATTATTTGATTGACCAAACTACAATAGAAAGTTATTTACATGTAAATATAATCTACATAAATTAGTGGTATTTTATGAATATACAAATATTTAGAGTATTAAAATATGATGAGAAAGCTGAACTCAAATAACGTATGTGTACCTCAACTTGTTCATCTTCATCAACAAATACATTGGTATGCCTTAAGTAGGATCTAGAATAATAAAATAATTTGTTATCATGTATTGATTTTTTATATCAATGCTATATTTTTTTGAAATATTAGTTTTCTATAATGTAGTCAAAGTTAAACATACACATCTGTATTACCTGTAAAGAAAACATTCTGTTATAGTATTTAGGCAACGGCCAAAACAGGCCCCCATAAGCTAACAAAGTGCGGCAGATAGCCGTCATCTAAAATGATCTATGCGTTATATCTGATATACGAAATATTTGTTTTGTCGATGTTATCTACCATCATCATTTGCACGAAACAACCTTTCTTGAAGCCATGTGCATGAATTTAGCGCTGTTTTTCTCTTGACAATGGTACTTGGTTCATTAATTATAATTTTTAAAGACCACATGACATTTCTTCACGATGAACCTACGCAAAACTTATACAATAATACTCCGCGCTTTCTGTAAGCCGATCAAGTTAACGTGTTCAAGAGTAGCCATTTGATTTGCAGCCACACTCTGCACAACACATCTGCAATGCGATCGTCTTCATTTCATATTATCGTCTAATTATCACCCATGCTATATATATACATGTAACTTTCAATTTATATAGTGTAGACAGTGTACTCACTGTGCATCAATGTTTTAAAGTATTTCTATAATATTTTGCGTTGAGCATCGAGCTTATTGTATTGTATTATACGTTTTGCTCACATGTACATACATACATACTACTGTACGTATAATTCAATTTGATAAATCGATATTTAACTTATTTGTTTTACCATACAAGATTTAAGAACATTTTTAGTGATATGGATAATTGATGATAATTTCAATAGTTACTAATAGTCGATTGATTATTTATCATGTCGAAGTTAAGATTATTTTATTTACAATATAATTGTTATTTTTATTTGCAGTAGAATTGATATAGCAGTCAAACTCGAAAACATACAAGTCGAGAATATCGAGATTCGAGTAGACTAGGGATGATTAATTTATTATTATAAGGGTAAATTATATCGATGATTAGGCGCGAAAGTCAAAATTATAATGCTCTTGAGTAATAATAAGGTACAAAGATTGCGTAATTAATAAAGTATCCAAGTAGGTTATTGTATAGTGCATATACGCAGATATTCATTTGCAAACCAGAGATCTTAGCTGTGTTTGACTGGATATATGATTAAGTCATGATTTCAATATAATCGATATGATTATTTCAATGATATACATAGTAATTACTACGCTGAAATATGTCGTTATTTGTATCTTAATTTTATTCAATTTGTTCTAAATGACGTAATGAGAACAATTAAGCGAACCGCGTAGACGCAAGCAGGTTTCTTACAAAAATAGGCAGATTTCTTCATAAAACTTTATCTTCAAGCAAGAGTAATGTTATAGTGTAACATGTATGGTTTAATAAATTTTCCATATTTTTCTATTTTTATCACACAAAAATTAACATTAACATACTTAATATTTATTAAATTTTTATTTGTGAATGTTAATTTAGTTACATTTTATGATTTTCTATAATTTTAAATAACAACATCTAACGAGAATAATGTTATAGTGTAACATGTATGGTCTAATAAATTTTCCATATTTTTCCATTTTTATGTCACAAAAATTAATATTAACATACTTAATATTTATTAAATTTTTATTCGTGAATGTTAATTTAGTTACATTTTATGATTTTCTATAATTTTAAATATGTAAGCGCAAGCTGATTATATCGCTTTACATAAGTTTTTTTCACTAAAATACTTAAGTATCTCGATATCGATCATTAATATATGTTATCGATGATTTCTTAGTAGTGATATAGATTGGCTTTCGATCAACACATTAATTGATAGTAAAGATAATGTATCATTCAAATAATATTTATATAAGCGATTTAGTCAGGCGAACTTAGCTATATATTTATACGCGCGTGTATGTCTGATTGGCTGTTCATATATATTACTATTATATTTGCTATCATCGGTATATTCTTATTATAATTATATATATGATACATAGTTTTGGCACTTAGCCGGATGGCATGAGCGGCTTCGGCAATTGGCGAATAACAACTGCCGTGAAAGACGTTCTTTCGGGGCTCTTCAATTCTTTTTTTATTCAGTTAAAATTAATCATGAACATAGATAACGTTAAACACTCTTGAGACAAAGATAAAAATACAAACAGTGGTTAGTAGTTATACTTTATGAAGAATTATTTTATGAAGAGATCATTCTTTAAACTCAAGATTAAGAATTTAACCTGTAGATCGTCGTTAACTTACATTTTTCTAAAATGACAATATTTTTATGGTGCGTTTTAATATTATTCATCAATTTTAATGTGGAAGCTAAGCCAGCACCAGCACATGCACCAAAATTATTAGTTGTATCTTATGATGCATTCAGGTAATTACATTTATATTTATTTTACATTTACTTAACTATTCTTTTGATCTTTCAATTCTGAATATTTTAAATATTATATTAAAATACTATATAGTTATTAGTGTTTGTGTAAGTAAAAATGTGAATGATCATATATCATTAATTCTGAGTTGTTAAAAATAATTTCCATCAAGACGATAATCAACAGTATCATCATACCAAAATAAACATTTTATGTTATTTGTGTTGCTACGATCAGGAAATTAATTGAATACTATTTGAACACAGTAAATTGTATGTAACAACGAATAATGAATAAATAAAATATTAAATAAATGCATTTATTTTTCAAAGTTAGGTTGTAGAATTAAAATATTAAAAAATATTTAACAAATTATAGTTTAGTTATAACATATATATCATAACATTATATTGTAACATACGTGTAACTGAAATTACTTTTAGGTATGATTATTTTGAAAGAAATGTAACACCATTTCTTAAGGACCTAAGAATTAAAAGTACTTATACAGATTATATGAGAAATGTTTTTGTAACAAAAACATTTCCAAACCATTTCACAATATCTACTGGATTATTTGTAGAAACTCATGGGGTAGTTGATAGTGAATATTATGATCCAAAAATAAATAAAACATTCAAATATTCTCATGAACTGTTTCATTATAATAATGATATTCTCCCAATATGGGTATGTTGAAAGATTTTACAATTTACTTATATTAACTCAATTCTAAGTTTATTTTTACATATATGTTCATAAGCTATACTATTTCAGATTCTCAATGAGAATGCTGATGGAAATAGACATAGTGGTATTATGATGTGGCCTGGTGGTGATTATGAATATGATGGAAAAAAAACTATATTTCATCAAGTAAGATTAATATTGATGACATTCTGATACATAAAATATTGAGCAAAAATAATAGAATCCTGTTTTTTAATGAAATATGTATTTATATTTTTACATACTATATTCTTTGTAGTCTTGGAACACATCTATTCCATGGAAAAATAGAATAGATGATATAATATCCTGGTTCAACCATCCTAAGACTCCCATAAATTTCGGAATGTTATATATTGAAGAGCCAGACTTTCATGGACATGGTATCGGCATCAATAATCCTCGATTTAACGAGATATTAAAAAAATTAGATGAAATAACAAAGTATCTTCATCAGAAATTGAAGCAAAATTGTCTGACTGATGTCAATGTTATACACCTGAGTGACCATGGAATGTCTAGCACTACTATTAACCGAATAATAAACTTGACTGAATTTATTGATCCTGCTGACTATAAATTTGTAGGAATATCTCCAGTAATAAATATTTACCCTATCGAAGGTGGCACTTACAAATGAATATTAAAAAAATGTTCAATATATTTTGTAATTTTAGATACTTTAATTTTATTGCTTCTTTTAGGGAAAGAAACTTTGGTTTACACCAATTTGAAGAAAGCTTCTACTGTTAACAAAAATTTTGATGTATACTTAAAAGAAGATATACCTGAAAGATATCATTTTCATAATAATCCTAGAATAGGACCTATTCTTGTCGTTGCAAAAATTGGTTATGCTTTCCAAACTCTTTATGATAGTTTTCCTTGGTACGAAAAAGAATTCAATATTACAAGTATGTATAGAATAATGGAACCTAATAAAGCGTTTTCTAATGGTTTGGTCTTAAATAATTTATAAACATTTGGCATAATTTAAAAAAATTTTCAGTTAATGAAAATTCTGAATTTGGAGTTCATGGATATGACAATAACAATTCGGAAATGCATCCATTTTTTTTTGGTCTAGGACCTGCTTTTTTGCCAGCATGTAAGGTACCGCCGTTCGACAATACAGATTTACTTCCTTTGTTTTGTGAAATACTTGACATATCATGTCCTCAAGTGAATGGAACTTTGAGTAATCTGAAAACTTGTTTAACAAAACATCACTATGAGGCAATTTTGTATAATGGAATATGTAAGTATCGCTTTATATATGATTTTAATGAACTTGGGTATATCTTGACTAGCCGATACACTAGCCGATATTATTTATTATAGACATAGGTGGCGTGGTTATTTCAATTTTAGGAATTATAGCTTTATTTTTAGTATATTTAAGAAGACAACATTCTGAAAAAAATACGAAATACAGGTAAACAAAAATACACTGCATGTATTTTTATACTACTATGGAAAACAGAGTTGCACTGATTTTTTCTCTATGAGTAGATATAGAAATGCTTTTTACGTTAGAATTTTTCAATTTAGCTGTTACATATTTTGCAGGATTTCCAGCAACCAAGCTGCTAAGTAATATTGTGCAATGTAATAGCGCCTTTTTTTCTATTTTTGTATGCTTTCAGGCTTTATTAATTTTCTAACAAAATATTTTAATGCGCCCATTGAATAATAATAACTATTATTACTATGACTATTATTAATTATCATAGTCATAGTAGAAATAACAATAATAATCTGCTCTATACATATCTGTAGCCAAAGCAACAGTAATACCGGTTACCGACATTCTTTTTTTAGTGCGTAGATACAATTCATTTTTACCAGGCGTACGTATTTCAATTTTTTTGCTTCTACCTAGTATACTACACGGCAGCTACCGCTAGCTTCAAATTTCTCTCATTTGGTCTGAAAACTTTAAATTATCTTATTTGGTTTGGAATTCCTAAAGCTTGTTGTCATTGTTTTACTTATGATCAATGCAAGGGTCTTCAACAATATTATATTATGTACAATCCTATTAAAATCTGTCACAATACGACGATATAGTGTTTCCTCAATCTGACTTGCCCGTTTTAACGGGTTTACCGCTTCTTGGAAGATTGTCTACGATCTTCACATATATCTGCCTTGTGTTAACTCATCGGAAATAGCGCTTGCCACTTTATTCTTCTCGATTCCTTCTTCTCTTCCGATTTCCCTATTGTTCCGTTCACCTTGCTCTAATGTATCATATTCAGTGTTTTTCCACCTGTTTAAGAAAGTGAAAAGTAAATAGTCTGTATATTTGTACTTCTTTGGCTCTTTTTTCTTCTGTAGAAGCAGCTAGCAATGCCCTGAATTCCGTTCTGAGCATTACTTATTGCAGCGACGTCTTGGCATATTTTAGTTAAGAAGCGTTGTCTCATCTTTTTTCTTGTCTAAATATCTTTTTGAAATAAGAAGACACTTTATACATGGTTTCTTCTGCCTTGCGTACTTCTACATGTTTTACCTGCACTCGTAATATTTCTACATCTCTTCTAGCTTTAATCTTGAGGCAAGCTAGGCTAATATATTCTCCACACTTCCGTTACTATCAAAATTACCTGGTTATAATTGATCGGAGGTACGTAAGTGGTGTTTTACCTACCAACTACCACCATCACTTACTAATCGGTCTATGTGTAATTATATATGTACTAAATTCTGACTGGAAGAAGGAGTCGCTACGTATATTTTGGTTGCTTTTTTTGTTCGTAAAGAAATATTTGAACAATAGTACAAATAAATATTTAAACAATTAGTAATAATTTATTCTTTTTTCAATGACTTTCTAAAAATTATGTCAATTTCACTAAATTTAACAATGTATCATTATAATGAGTAAAGCTAAATTTATACGTGCTTGTTATAAAAGAATAATTTTTAAATGTTCTATTTTATTTACTAAATATTTTACTAACAAACTAATTTCGCACTCAACATATATCCAAAAAAAATTTCATTTTACAACACAATATTTTTGCAACAGACATAACATTTGTCTTTTAAAAAAGATATGTAATCGTAGAAACGTTCATTATCCCAATTTGGAATCTTTGAATGCTACGAATTATAGAAATAGTGATATATTGTTGCAGAAAAATTGTATTGTAATTATGAATATCGTTCGGTTAATTACTAATTAAAATTATTATTTTAATTGAAATTATTATTTTAGAATATTAATGCAAGAGGCCGACTTGGAAAATCAAACATGGGATGAAGGGAAACTTGTATGAAGGCACTAATAAATCATAAAACGTATTCTATTTATATATTACGTACAATGATGTAAAATATATTTGTAAATATATTTGTAAATATATTTTTGAATATATTTGTGGATATGTATTATTTAACATTTAAAAATTAATTGTATAAATATAAGTATTAATATAACTTTTGATTGAACCAGAATTTTAATATTGAAATATATAAAGAGCAATATGCAAGAAATCAATCATTTGTTACCTTTTTATTTGAAAATATATCTCCATGATTTCAAATGTTTGCAATGAAAAATTATGAAGTAAACAGCATGATTTTTTTAAATCTATCAAAAACAATAATTTTAAATATTATATATAAAATACACCATATTTGATACTAAATTTGCATCCTAGCTTTTAGCTCTTCAATTTTTATTAAAGGCATAACGAAAGAAATACTCTTCCATTTGTTTTTTTGATAATGTAAAGTGTAAAGTAATAAATGTAATAAGTATCACGTTATTAACAATCAAAGTGGCTATGTAGTTTGATTATTTTCTTTTTAATACAATAATATTGGAGACATTTTTCAGTGATATGTCATTTTTTCTGCGGTAACTTTATTATAATTATTTCAACTTTTACTTATGAAAAAAGATATTTTAGATTTTGTCTTATTTTGTCTCGCGAAAATAGTTCACGATTGTTGTTGAAGTTTATTTCACACCACTCGTAAACGTTGATGGATAAGGTGAATGTCGAAATGATCAAAAACAGCGTGAAGATTAACACAATTTAATAGAAAAAAATAAATGTGCGTAGAATAAATGCATGTAATATTTAAGTTAAAAAATTTTTGTACAAATGCTAAGCAAATGATTCTCAAGATACACTGTAAAGAATAATACTTTTATAATAAGGATAGTAATTTGTAACAAATATTGTAACAATCGACTCATCTAACAAGAAGATTATTGTTATTACCAAGAGTAATTCCGTTTGAGACTTATAAAGAGTGTTTTTTCAAATAAAAAAACTGCAATGTCCTTGGCTAAATACTTTAAAACCGAAAGAGAGGGAACGAATAGACACTAACTAATAAGCGTATTAAAATCCGGAAAACCGAGGAACGATTAATTCTTGGAAAACATTTTGTTTATGTCAAAGACGCTTTTCTTAGTAGTAATAAAAGTTCCGACGAAAAGTTGACAAAAACCATTTAATTTTAAAACGACACAGACTCTTGCATAAGGTACGTCTTCATTTGGGTCTTAACAAAACTTCACTCGCATATATTTATATGTTTCTATAAAAACTAACGCGTTGACAAATTACATGGATGCCATATATGTTTGTAACTTATAAATCATAGGAAACGACACATAATATTATATGTAGTCATATAAGATATGAATGCAGTCGCGACAAATCTTTATCTTTTTCATTTAACATTTATATTTTAATAACACTAAAAATTCGATTGACATGTATACATATATGTATGTTATAACAGTTATTAACAGTTTTCTTTTTGTTTGTAATAGTTATACAGTTATTAACAGTTATGGACAATTTCAGAAATGCACTTTTTGTCGTAAAAAAATTTGCAGCAGTTATGAAGTTTTTAAATTAATTTCAAAAATGTAAATAATTATTTAAAACTGTAAAAAATAGTTATTTATCATATGTAATAATTAAGAATTATTTTAAACACTTATATATTATTATAATCATTTAATTTTTTTCGCCTATATATTAATACTTTTTTCGTGTTTGGTACTGACAAATTAATAATTACAATTAATTGTGTAACATTTAATACTTATTTGATCAATGTTATAAGAAAATAAATTCGAACTTAGTGCAGTTTAAATCGTGAATTATAAATTATTGTCTTAACAAACTAATTTATTCTAAAATTAAATAATTAAATAATAGCATGAACTCTCAAATAAACTCAATAAAATGAATGATAAATTATTCACTTAAGTTCGCTTTTGTCTCATGAGTTGTTTAGGCTCTATGAGTTGGAACCCTTAAGGTGAATAGAGGATAGTAAACTAGATTGTTTCTTAAGTTCGCATTTGACACTTTGAGATGTTTAGACTCAAAGAGTTGGAACCCTTAAGATGGATCTAGGAAAGGAATAAGGTAAGCTCTTAAGTTCGCATTTTCCTCTTGAGATAGTTAGACTCAACGAGTTGGAACCCTTAAGATTTGACAAGACCGAGCGGTGCGTGAAATAATTCTCAGACCATGGTTAAAATTAAATAAATAATTTATTTAATAACCGCCTCCGAGCACTATCTGATGCCTCTTGCTCAAGGTTCAAGTCACGACGGTGGCTATCAGTAGTGCTCTTATTACAACATGATACTTAATTCTATATAAGTTTTGATCACGCCATCGATACTTAGTTTTCGGAATTACATTATTTCGCTAAATTCATCTCAACTGTTTTGATATTTATTTAATTTTTCTCTTACATATTTTTTATTTATTTGTTTATTATTTACATATAATGTTTATATAATCATAATGTTTATAAATAATGGGGGAGCGACTGGACCGTCACAATTGCAAATAATAGACACTAATTTTTTATTCCAATAGATAATTTGTGATAACTGTTATTTGTAGTTATTTATATTTATTTGCATCTATTATTTACCAAAATAAATTTGTTTTTAGTGAATAAAAATACAATTAACCATAAGTAACTGAAAAAACTATAATATTTTAAATAATAATTTAATAATGATTTTATATTATTTAATAAGTTCTTTAACCCTTAACTGCTATGTGAGGTAGATTTACCCCAGACAATTTTTAACAATAAATAAAATTTTTTTTTTTTTTTTCAACAATTTTTTTCAGTGTGTGTAACATTAAAAATTGTTAACCTGAATTTTTTTTTTTGTAGTAAAAGGTTTGAAATATCCTAGAAAAAATGTTCATAGCAAAGTATCTAAAATTCTCTGATTTATTCGATGTTTTTCGGGCTGGGGTAGATTTACCCCACCGAGCAGTTACGTGGCTAAAATAAGGTGTGTAAGTTAAGGATTAATAGAAAATAACTCTTTATAATTGTTATAAATAGTTTATAAATGGTTACAAATTGTAAATAACTGTTAGCAAATATTATTAACTAACGATATCTATTAGAATTTTATGCATAAATTATTTCCGACAGGGTAACTTAAGGGTTAGGTGGCTATTATTGCTTGATGAATTCCAATTGTATTCTAAGATCTCAGAGGATCATACCAACACTTAATAAAATTGGTTACTATATAAGACTTTATCAAAGATCTTGAATTAATAGTATATTACTACGGTGTTTAAAAAAATTTTAATTAAATGGAAAATACCTATGGATTTTATTCGTGAATTTGATTGTAGAACCCTTTGAAAAACTATTCAAAGTGAAATAAAAATCTAGAATTCTGTTTTTTTTTGCTAATTTAAAGTTTTTTATCGGCATTTTATAGAATTTACCCGTAATACGATGTTTTAGTGTTTGTGTAACGATTGATTATGGTTTTATAAATAAACAATCTGAGTAATTATAAACTAAAGATAATTTATTTATACTTTTCAACTATATATATATAATGAATTTTACACTTTTTAAAGCTAAATATAGAAGAAATATAACTAATCGCTTATCATAGTTTACATTGTAAATTAAAAAAAGCTATATGCCTGAAAATTTAGTGAGAAAACTTGTACATAGATCCATTGGTTGATATTGGCGACTTAATCTCTGTTTACATTTTGTGCATACCCAGTAGTATAGTATAGATAATGCTGATACCCATAGAATCGACTGTGATTACTATCAAATTTATTTATTTAACTATGCTTAGTTAGATTTTTATCATACTTTTGTTTGTGCAAATACATTACGATACAAGTGCGGGAAAGTAGATTCTCGTCTCGTGTGGCGTTTACGCCCGAGCGAAGCGAGGGTGGAAAGATACACGAGACGAGAAACTCTTTTCGATACTCCGTGCGCAAAGTGCGTCTTTCCCGCACATTCGGTAGAAAACGTGCGTTGAAAATTACACTTTCCACACGTCGTATAAAAAAATACGGTACGGCACATGTTCGGGAAAGAGTTTCTCGTCTCGTGTACCTTTCCACCCTCGCCTCGCTCGGATGTAAACGCCACACGAGACAAGAATCTATTTTTCCGTACTTGTATCGTAATGTACTATTTAAACCCACCGTTTTGCGATACAAGTGCGGGAAAGTAGATTCTTGTCTCGCGTGCCTTTCTACCTTCACTCGCTCGGGCGTAAACCTCACACGAGACAAGTATCTATCTACTTTTCCGCACTAGTTCGGTAATGTACTAATTTGACGAAACATGTTCAGCTCGTGCTGTAAACCTCTTGTTTCAATAAAGATTCAAAGAAGTTTTTACGCATTCGATATATGTATAATTTTTTTGTAACATGCATATATATTTCAAAAGTTATAAATTTTTGAAAGTCAAAAATCTTGAGTTTTTTACTAAGTTTGAATATTAATAAATTTTTATCTGCTCAATATTTTTTAAAAAACCCTACTTTCTCTACAAATTGATATATATCAAAATTATTGTTATTTATCCGTAGTCGTTCTTTCTGCAATCAACAATAGCGCCATTTTGATACTTGATGATATATGAATTAATTTCGATAAGCGGACAATTGTACGTATTTTACTATCCACATAAATTATTGTGCACAGTAATATAACATAAGAATTGATACACGCGCTGATTCGCATCCTATGTTATCGTGCATAATAGTTTATAGGTACAATAAAACCGTACACAATTATTGTCCACTAGCTTTAATTTCACTGTATCCAAATTTTTTAACTTTGAGTTCGTCTTTATAAGTTTGCTACGATTTTCTACAATTAAAATTTATTATTATTATTATTATAACTATTATATTAAATATAATATACATTTAATAATTAATAAATTTATTACAATAGTTGTCATAGTAATTAATTAACATGATTCTCATAATATTATTATCACATAAACAATATTAGTTAAATATAATTATCATTACGAAGCTCGTAAAATTAGTTCTTATAGCAAATTTAATCAGCGGGTCAAAATAGATGTATGTAGAAACCTAATATACAAAAAAATGTTGCATAAAAAATTATATTTTTTTTGGTATCGTAAGTATCAATTGTGATTTACAAAACATCAATTAATCCATTACGATCGACTATTTCATAAAATCTAGCGTGATTGAATAATAAAACAAAAACTGTTGAATTAAATACAATTAAAAAATTATTCTTTAAATAATCATTAGAACTTATAGAACACGATTACATTAAATACTATTAGGTATGGTTTTTATTCATCATATATTGAAATTGATAAAAAACTGTTTGATTAAATACTACTGAGAATTTTTTTAAAAATCTTTTATATCGGATAAAATATGACTAATAAAATACATGATTATGAAGTTTGCAACGTTCATCGTGAACGAAAAAATCGAAAATTTAAATGAGGATTTGACTCCATATATTGCTTTAAATATCAAACTAACAATATAAAATACTATAGTCAGTATTATAAAGTAGCTTATAAATATATTAACATTGATTTGAAGCAATATATGGAATCAAATCCTCATATTTAAATTTTCGATTTTTTCGTTCACGATGAACGTTGCAAACTTCATAATCATTAAAATACTATTGAATTGATTTTTATTACAAGTATTGTTCAAACTGATTCATTGTGATTGAAATTAATAAGCATTTTTACCATTTATTACGATTGCCATTAGTTACCATTGAAAATTATTTAATTCAAATTGTCATTTAACTTATGATCTATCCACTTCATTGAAAATGATTGATTACTATTTAATATGAATAGTTTTGAATAAAAATCCATGGAACTTTTTTAGCAATCAACAGGGTTGTCAATTTTCACGGGCTATGGACTTACCAATGCTTTTCCGACCAAGGTAAGTAATCTACTAATTTCCTTTTATTTCCACTTATGAAAAAGAGATGGGTCTAAGAGTAAAAGCAATTTATTCGTGATCTGATTAGCTAAATGATGGTTACGTAGTAAATATTCTTGATGAATGGAAATGAAATAACCTCGAAATAAAGGCGCGCCTATTTTTGTCTCGTGTACTATTAAGCGTCATAGATGGCCAAGCCGAGCGTCAGTACAGTAGTGCGGAATATGTAATATAAATTCGAAGCAAAGCAGCTCGCGTTGTTCGTAGGATAGTATAAACCGTGCTAAGGAATCCTCCCCATAGCGTACTGGCGCTTATTGCTTAAGACACATAAATAGCTATATCTACGTACTTGCGAGGAATTAGTTATTTATGCGTCAGAAGAATATCGAGTGCTATTACACCGGAGGAGAAAATTCAGCACGGGGCAGCGAGCGTAGCAAGCGCCAAAGCTTTTATATCCCGCAATGCAAAAAGTTTTTTTTTCCGGCGTTAAGTCACTCGTGCTGCGAATGCTTAAAAATTTTTCATGTCTGGCAAAGCTATATATAAAGATGTTTAGATACCGAGAGCAATCAGTAGGTAAATGGGTCATATACGACGCAACTACACACGTTTTTCAAATCTTTTATTAAGAACACTCGATACTATTGACCCAGCTGACACAAACATGTGTTGTCAAAACCATGCCTTGTTCGCGTCAAAACAAAACTATTATTCGTTTAGCTAACTTACGCCCCATGTGGTGAGTGAAAGTTTCACTGGAGGATGACTCACCCTTCAGTCGCGTCAAAGCAAAACTATTATTCATTTCGTTACCTTATGCCCCATGTGGTGAATGAAAATTTCAATGGAGGATGACACCCTCCAATGAAACTCACTCACCATATGGGGCGTAAATTATCTAAACGAATACTAGTCTTGTTTTGACGCAACAAAGGCATAGTTTTGACAACCCATATTTGTGCCAGCCGGTTCAATAATATCGACAGTCTTCTTAATAAAAGATTTGAAAAACAAAAATGTTATTTATTATATTTAATATATTATAAACTGTGTGTAGTTGCGTCGTATATAACTCATTCACCAACTGATTGTTCTTGGTATCTAAAAACCCTCATATGGCCTAGCCAGAAATGAACAATTTTTTAAGTATCAGCAGTGCAATGAACGACTTCAACCCGAGAAGAAAATGTTTGCATCGCGAGATATAAAAGCCTCGGCGCTCGCTACGCTCGATGCCTTGGCTCTTATACTATTCCGCGCTGAAAATATTTTCTTCTCCGGTGTAATGGCACTCGATACTCTGCTGACGCATAACTATTTTGGCTTTTTACGAAAATACCCAAACAAATATAAAATCTTTACCCTAAAAAAATGTCTCAAATAGCATCTATTTATTATTTAAAAATAACAGATGGTAATTAAAACTTTCAATTTAGCTGTAAAAGCAGCGATATCATACATGTGTTAGGGAGAAAAAAAAACGTATGATTTTTACCTTAGGCTAGAATCGCCATCTTACTAATAATGTGCATTCCTGTGAACACTTCGTGTCTACTCGCATGCGACTCGCTACCGTCACTTCATTTGAACTTATTAATAATTTTGTTGAATATAGAAATATACTATATATATATTACATTTGCATCTGCGATGCAGTGGTTATGCATCATGGAAGGTGGCAGTCGGGGGTTTAAAAAGCAATTGCATAGTATCTCCTTTATAGAGAGTCAACAATAAAGAGACAGAAACTACAGTAAAGAGCTAGATATAGGTATTGATTAAAAGAACGTTTTCTGACCTGAAAATTATATTACATTAATAACTAAACAGCCGAAGGAGGTGACTTGTAAAAAGCTTGATAACATATGCAGTTACTCAAAAAAAATGTGCAGGTGCAATAAAATCAGTCTTAGATTTGTTCAAAGATGTTCAAGTTTTTGAACATCATAAGACATCGATCAGCGCTTTGGTTAACATTACTACATTTACATTTTAGAGACCCTTCTCGAGTTCAACCACTTTTCCTTATTTTATAATTCTCTCGTTTGACAAGTTCGGTCCTGTCAAACACGTGTTTATCGCGAGATGCGCTCCGACATACACACTTTCTCTTTCTCGAAATTATACAACTAGCGCCTCTACAACTACCTACAAACAACCGTAGCGTAGCGTAGTGGCGTGAGGCGTCCATCGACGCATCGTTCCGTTGGTCGTTCAGTTCAGCTCTGGCGTTGTACACGGATATACGACATTTGATCTGATTGTACATTAAGGATTAAGGAACGCCATATCTTATCAAGTCAGTACACGTGGTTTCCCATAACTTCAATTAAAATGATATTGACAGTTTCTAAAAAATTCATAACCGGTTTTATTAATCATCTTTGAGACACTGTCCGATTATTATTTATAAGTGAGTAAATTGTATCAATAGGTTATGACGTAAATATAAAATTTATTTTGCCGTTGAAAGAATGCGTATGTCACTCAATTTTCGACTCGATCTATACACGTAAGTTAACCTTTGAGGAATTTGTCTCAATGTAAACAAAAAAGGTTAACATTCTATTGTTATGTCTTACTAAGATAAAATATTATACGCAAACTTATATCTTTTCTTTTTCTCTTTCACATATAAATTCGTAAGTGTAAAGTGTAATAAAGATATAAACTTTCTAATAGAGAAAAAACTAAATTAATCTTGAATTTAGAAACCATTTTGTATATGTATTACACACCGTATCACTTTTCTTTTTTCGAAGAATGTATATGCTTTGAGAATTCTTGGAAATGAATAGAAACGTTTTATGTACTTTATACATAAAAACCTAAATCAGTCACTTTTTTCTTCACTCTGTGGGTGAGTACTCGATCTACGAACGCGCTTGAAAAAACGCGTGTTTCAAATATCTCTTAACACGATACACGGACGCGAGAAAATGATTTCACCCCCACGTGGCCTTTTCATCTTCACTTTACTCAAGCGCAAAAGTCCACTTGAATCATTTTCTCACACCAATATCGAAATGTACTATTTCTTCATTGAATTAATTAAACATTTTCGTCAATTCTTTATATATCATTTATATAAATGATTCAATAAGAAAGTCAAATAATTACCAAAAACTTTAGTATATATTCAGTATTCATTAAATTAATGTTGTATGATTAAGGATATCCATGTATTTTTAGAATGGAAGAAAATTGGGATAATGATAGTGGTTGGAATCGACCAAAATCTGTTGGACAAAATGGAAGTGATTCCAATGTAGGTTTCAATAATAATTGTTATAAACCTAGTTCCGGACAACGCAACCATCAAACTAGGAATAACCATGGTTTCAATCAAAGTCGTGGATTTCAACAAGATCGTAGATACAATCAAAACCATGGATTCACGCAAGATTGGGGTTCTAATCAGAACCGTAATGATAGGAGAAATCAAAATTCTAGACACTTGCCTAATTCTAGAGAAGAAAAGTGTACGGTTTTTATAGAAACCAGTAAATTAGGTAAATTAATTGGTAGAGGAGGTAGTCAAATTCGAGAGTTACAAGACCAAAGCAGTGCAAGAATAAATGTAAGTGAACTTCAATTTGATTTTCTTACTTTGTTTCTATAGATGTTTTATATTATTTTATCTTATTTTATCTTATTTTATCTTAATGTTAACTTTGATAGATTGAGAAAGACTGTGTAAATGGTGATAGTACTCTTGTTATTATAACTGGTCCTATAAATGCACAAAATAAAGCTAAGGCCTTAATAGATGCTTTATTAGCTGATTTACCAACTGAGCATAATTCATCAACAAATTTATCAGATAGAACTGAAAGCTTAGAGAAGCGTGAAGGCAATTCCTCTGAGGAAGACAAGGAAATAAATTGGACACAAGCTGCTTTAGAATATGTATGTAACTATTATGAAATTGTTAAATATTAATTTTTTGATAAATTAAATTATAAATCTAATACAAAACGTTGTTTTGCTTTTAGGAACAAGCTCAACAAGAGAAGTGGGCACAATATGGGCCAATAAAAAAAGATTTTTATAAAGAAGATCCTAAAATAGCAAATTTATCAGAAGAAGAAGTAGAGCAAATTCGGAAAGAAAATAATCAAATCAAAGTTCAGCACACCTTTGACGTAAAAGATTCAAAAACTCCTAATGATTTTAAAATTCCAAATCCAATAGAAACATTTGAGCAAGTTTTCAGAGTAAGTAGATGTAATGTTTTTTTCTGAATTAATGATCGTTATTATTATATTAATGTTGTGATTTACATAACTTTTCTTACTAATATTTATATAATTATAGCCTTATCCAGATATACTAATGGAAATAGCAAAGCAAGGATTTCAAAAACCTAGCCCTATACAATGTCAAGCGTGGCCAATTTTACTTTCTGGTAAAGATATGATAGGCATAGCACAAACTGGAACAGGTATAGTGCAATTTAGGTACATCATTGACTATTAGTTGGAAAAATTACATTTGATATTTTTTTATAGGAAAAACACTTGCTTTCCTGCTACCAGCTCTTATTCACATTGACAATCAAGAGATTCCACGAGATAAAAGATCTGGTCCATCAGTTTTAGTAATGGCTCCCACACGAGAGTTAGCTTTACAAATTGAAAAAGAAGTAAATAAATACGATTATCATGGAATAAAGGCGTAAGTATATGAATATGAATTTATGCAAATAATTAATGCTATACATCCAAAGTTGATTTGATTTTATCATTTAAATTAATTTTAGTGTCTGTGTGTATGGGGGTGGCAATCGTAAGGAACAAATGAACATTGTCTCTAAAGGAGTAGAGATTGTCATTGCTACACCAGGACGCTTGAATGATCTTGTTCAGACAGGAGTTTTAGATGTTAAGTGCGTTTCATATTTAGTTTTGGATGAAGCAGATCGAATGCTTGATATGGGTTTTGAACCACAAATTCGGAAAACACTTTTGGATGTTAGGCCTGACAGACAATCAGTGATGACTAGGTTTTTACATAAAATAATTTTACTAATTTACGATTTTTTAAGTTCTTATTAAAATTGAATAATTATTTCCAGTGCAACCTGGCCAGCTGGAGTTCGACGACTAGCACAGACATACATGCAAAATCCTGTGACAGTGTGTGTTGGATCTTTGGATCTCAAAGCTACACATAGTGTAACTCAAATAATTCATATAGTTACAGAAGAAGAGAAAACAGATATGGTTATTATCATATAATGCTTATATTTATAAACTTGAACAATGTAATTTTATTTATGATCTAAAAGTTTATTCAAAATATTTATTTTCTGTTTTATCAGCTTCTTGATTTTTTACACAATATGGGGCCAGATGATAAAGTTATTGTATTTTTTGCAAAAAAAACTACGGTTGATGATGTGGGTAGTAATTTAGCTTTACGTGGAGTTATAAATCAAAGCATTCATGGAGGTCGAGAACAATCAGATAGAGAACAAGCTTTAGAGGATATTAAATCCGGACAAGTACGCATACTTCTGGCAACAGATGTTGCTAGTCGAGGCCTAGACATAGAAGATATAACGTAATATTCTCATTTTTTAATTATTTGTTAAAATTATTCCTCCAACTCATTAAAGAAAAAATATTTCTTAATGTTTTCTAGGCATGTGTTTAATTACGATTTTCCTAAAGACATTGGAGAATATGTACATCGTGTTGGAAGGACGGGGAGAGCAGGACGAACAGGTGAAAGTATAAGCCTCGTGACTCGTAAAGACTGGGGTGTTGCTGAAGACCTTATAAAAATTTTGGAAGAAGCTGAACAGGTATTTTATAATTTTTATTCGCTATACTTACCAAAATACTTTATTTAAATATATATATTTTTAAATGTCATTTAACCATTTTTATTACAGGAAATTCCTGATGAACTTTGCGAGATGTCTAAGCGGTTTAATAACATGCTAAAACAAAAATCTGAAGAAAGAGACAATGATCATAGGGATGGAAGAAGGCAAGGAGGTAGAAGAGACAGTGGCAGAGATCGTTATGGGGGTGGTGGTGGAAGGAGATGGTAATGATATATTGGTGTGTCACTATTATTATTTAATATGTATTTGCATTCATTTCATTTTTATTTTCAATCTATCAATGCGTTTTCAATTGTTATATCATTTCAAAATATTCATAAAAAATAATTCATATTTTTATCCTGATGATTAGAACAAATTTGTTTAGAATTTTTATTTAGAGTACAATATAACTCAATATTCTTATCAAACTTAAAGTTTTTTGTTTTTTCATTCCAAAAATATATGAACTGTTTTTTTTTATTGCAATTGCTAATAAATTCCATTATCATGTTAGCAAAACTGTGATAAAATAAAAAATATGAGTGTATGTTTGATTATAATTTTCTTCTCAGTTTAATTTTTTTTTTCATATATTATATTTTACCTAAAACTAAACAATCTAACATACACTCAACATAAATATTTTAGACTATAAGTAAAATAAGTTAAATTATATTTACATAAAAAAAAAGAATAGTTATGTAATAAATATAGAAAATAATAAAATGTATGGAACAATTACAACAATCATTTATTGTCACTGCCAAGATTTACAAAACGTTAAATATTTTCAATCACTCTAAATAAATACGAAAAAAGAACTAGGTATTATTCTGAACTTAAGTATTTAAGAATCAGTTGCTATATAAAATGAAAATCAATTAATTACAATTGAAATTTAAGTTGCATTGTAAAATAGTAAAACAAGTTTCTGTGCTTTATATTTGTCTATAATTGATTTAAAATTTACTAAAGTTATTGATACAAAATCAATCAATGAGATCTTGAAAATAATAATTTGCATCATAATTTGACAACTACAAAAATATATTTTAATAATATTAATATACTTTAAAATTACGAGTTTTTGTATACTTTTCTGCAAATGATTTCCCTGATGGCGTCGGTGCAGAAAAAGCAATGTCATCTATAGACATTATATAACCATAGTAATAATTTACCCTACAAAATTTAATTCTAGATTCAGTTTGTGAAATATAGAAAGTATGCCAAATTTTATTAAAAAAAATTTTAATTACCTCAGCATGTCAACAAGTTTAGTAGCTATTCCTTGTCGACGATGACTCATTGCTGTCCAAACAACATTTACACCACACTTTACTGGAGTAGTTTCTGAAGTGCAACAATTTAACTCAACCAGTTCTGGTATCATCTTAAATGCACTTTTAATATATTCTGCAACTAAAACACCTAAAATAATTTTATCTCTTACATACAAATAAACCTAAAAAATGTAAAAAAGTATTTTATTTAAGTTAAACTGATTACAAACTTTGATATTCTTGAAAGTAACAAAGAAATACCTTTTTATCTCTATAAAATGATAACTTCATGTCTGATAGTCCTAAGTCTCGATCAACAATTTCCAAAATTTCTGTTACTTTCTTCCAATACAAATTGGAATCTTTAGGTTCTACTAAAATAATTCGACTGGAAGTATAGAAATCTGTAAAAACTACTCTTTCATTTTTCCAACCCTTAAAAAAGATATTTATTTTTACTTTTATGAAATAGTAATATATAATAATGTTGTCATTGACAAACCTGAAATTTCAGAGTTTTGAAACTATTGTGGTAGTTCAAGTGAGCGTTTTCATCATCAGGATCACCAATTTGATATACAATATTGCATTCGGTACATTGTGTAGCACCAAAATTTTTTTGACCAGCATCAATTTGATATTGGTTTTCAGAATTGCTACATTTCATAGATAATTGCCAATTAGTTGATCGCTTGCGTTTTTTGTTATTGTATTCACTAAAAAATGAATATTCATGAGAAAATAGTGGAAGTAAAAATATTTGTATGTATGTATATATATATATATATATATATATACTCATTAAAACTTGATGAATATCCTTTGGAAAATAATGGGTAATACTTTTGAACTGATATTTCATTGCTCGATGTACTGGTAATATTTAAAGGATAAGAAATATCATCAATATTCATGGTAGAAGCCATATTACTAAGCTCACTACCTGGAGACATAGTAAGGTCTTTCAATCTTATATTTGAATTATTAGGAGACGCTTTTTTTGTTATAAATTCAGTTGCAGTAGTATCATATTCATCATCATCTGCCCAATCATCTTCTAAAATTTTCAAAATATTATCAACTTTATCTGGCTCTAAAGATTCTTGCATTGAAGGCTCTTCTATTAATAAATCTGAAGCATCAAATTTTGGTCCATCCAATCTAAGTTTTTTATTAATATGTTCGACTTCCTCTTGATTCATAAAACTTCGAGATTTCATTATATTATTTGTAGCAATATTTGATTTATTTTCGAATTTCGATTTGAAAAATTTTTTGTTAGACTTGTCATCTAAACATTTTTTTTCATTTGTGTCATTTTGATTTCTAATTTTAGGATTCCAATTTTCTTTTACGTTATTTTTGTTATTAGAAAAATTGGAGTTATCAATTTGCTTTTGAGTGTCAAGTAAGTCAGTTTGTATTGATTGACGTTTGAGTTTTGGTTTTCTAATGCCATGGTGCACACCACAATTAATTTCACCTTTTCTGTGTCTTTTTATTGATTTTTTCTGTGTAAAATGATGAGAAGATAAACTTTTTTTCCTTTTAAGGTCAATCTGTGAATCTTTCCATCCTACTGTAATAGATTTATTAGATTTGTCATTAGATCCATAAAAAGATTTTGTATTCAAAGTAAATTCTTTATCTTGCTTAGAAATATTTTTATTTTCTTGAAATAATGCTGCTCTGGCTCTAGGTATTAATGGCAATTCTTCAGTCTTTTTTACTTTAGCAGTAGTCAAGATTAGTGAATCTTCTAAATGTCTCATAAAATTTAATTTTTTAGTTTCCGGAGAAATGCACTTATTTGGTTCTAAAGAGCTCAAAGACTTCCTTCTATGTATTCTGGGAATTGGAATATTTTTATAAACTGATCCTAAGGGTGTAATTTGATTAGATTCTATGTGGTCTTCTTTTTGAGGTGTTTCAGCAACATATGATAATTGATCATCAAAGTCTGATTCTTTCCCAGGTGTTTCTGGAACTATTTCTTCAGACATAATAGTATTTGTTGAATTAGAACTTGTTATTGTACTTTTTGCTTGAATATCTTGACTGGAATGAGATGATTTTGATTTTGGTGAAAGCAATAATATCCTTCTAGGAGAAGATCTGGCTGATTTTGTTACCCTTTTAAGAAAACTAAAAGGAGATAAACGCTCTTTTGAGGTACTATTTGTTGAAGTTGGTATCATACAATCCCAATTAGAAAGTGGTATTGTTGGTGATTTTTCAGGTGTAGCTAGAGGAGATATAAATTGTCTTCCAGGTGAACTATCACAACTGCTATGATCAGTTAGAGCCAAAGGAGACATTGGTCCTAAATCAGATTCTGCATCTGAAATATTTTCTGTTATATTTCTCACTTCTTTTTTTTCGTTAAATAAACTCCTCTTACTGGAGTTGCTAGATGGTACAAAAAGGCGTTTCTGAGCTCTACTTGGAGTAGTAAGACATTCATTGTGCATTGCTTCTTGGTTAGTTGCTAATAACATTGATTGCTCCATTAAAAATCCTACAGCATAGAATTTAACACTTATTTACAATGATTATTAACTAGAAATTTGCAAGAGTTCACGTTAAAGTGACAGTTTATAAATTGTAGAAAAGCAAATAACCTAGATAGCTACATTATTTGAAAGCTTTAAAATAAAAAAATCAAGGAATATTTATAATTAAAATTCAAAGCAATAACTCACGTAAAAACTTAGTAACTACGATATTCCTTATGAAATTTTCATGTAATTACAGAGCTTATATTATTCAACAGTGACAATAATGTGCTTACACATGTACGGTTACGTAGCTTGAAACTTTTAAGTCTGCACATCTGTATAAACTGTAAACAACTTTTTCGCGCTCTTCAGGCTATATACATGCATGCCATCTATGCTTTCATTCAAAGTGTACACGTACTAAGAGAACTTTTCCCTCCAATTTTAAGGACGTGTTCGAGACATTACGTCTTTAAACTAAAAGGCAGTGATAAATAAGTAAATTAATGAAAATTTTTATCGTAACTATTGCTTATTAAACAATCAGTTCAACGATATGTAGTAAAATCGTTCAATGTTGCATCAACTACATATCTAGTAATAAAGCCAAGTATACTATAGTTATATAAAACGAAAACTAAATATTTTACATTAAAAAATAATGAAATAGAAAATTTAACATTTACTATAATCTGCAAATTTACAGCATCATCAATTCTTCTAATACAATTTATGTAAAGTTAAAATTCAATAATTACAAATCAAATGCTTGAGAAAATTGCTAAAAATTTTATTTGATTGAATTAAAAGGCACAGTTATTTAATTTGCTGTGACAATATTTAAAAAATATTCAAATTTCAAAACTTCCATTATTATCCTCAGAGTTCATTACAATACAAATATCATTCTAATGATTAATTGTATTTCAACCATTATATATTATAGCAGTTAAAGTAAAATCTAATTGAGTGTAAATAATCAACCAATTTTGTTAATTTATAAAATATGAAAGTGTATTATGGATATCATTGAAAATGCTTTAAGATGTTGGAAGAACTTGTATGCTACTTTATTAAAAAAACAATTTTTCACAGTTGTGCTTAAAATAAATTCATAAATTAAACAAATTTATATAATTGTAAAAATGGAATATGTTTGATATAGAATTATTTGATTTTGTCTGCCAAAGAACAGCTTAATCCAGTATTATCTGGTTCAACATTAAGCTCTTTTACTGTACTGTCTTCCACAATCATAGAATATCTTTTGCTACGTTTACCACCTAGTACAGCCAAATCAACCAAAAGGCCTAATGCATCTGTGAATACTCCAGCAGGATCAGCCAACATACGAACCTTAAATTGAAAGATTTTTACTTTTATTATATAATTTAAATAAATAATAAAACAATACCATGATTAGCTATTACTTTCCCTTGGGCATTTTGATTCTTTCCCCATGCTGCCATGACAAAGGGGTCATTAACTCCAATGCAACAAATTTCATTATATCCCTTAGATTTTAATTCATCTGCTCTTTCTATATAACCTGGTAAATGTGTCTAAAACAAGATATTTTATTAATTGTGGATACAGATTATAATTATAGTTTTATTCACAAAGGAATATTTATATAAAAATAGTACACTAACTTTGGAACATCCTGGAGTAAAAGCACCTGGTACAGCAAAAACAATTATCTTTTTTCCAGCAGATAGTTGATTAAGATTAATTTTATTGGCAGGAGTATCTTCATACAAGTCCACTGCAGGTAGTTTACTTCCAACCTATGGCAGTAATTAGCATTTACTTTTTAATCTTTCTTTCAAAAAAATCAATGTGCGAGTTTTTTTTTTTTTGAAGAAAAATACATCTTTATTTTCTAATCATATCAACTTTATAATGGAAAATGTAACAGAATGTACATTTTCTTGAATTTTATAACTTTACAAATTGTAAAGATCTTATAAAACCACTCTACTATATATTTATTAACATAATTAAAAATTATTTTTATCGTTGTAATTGTTAATTACAAACAGTAGAAAAAGATACTTACTGCGATCACCATGTTCCGTAAAGCAACGTGAAAGTTTTTTGCTGAACAAGTGAGAACTATGCGACTAAATGATAAAATATTACGACTCAATGGGCTCATTTGATCTGCCTACTTTTACTATACGTAATTGAGTAGCCGGTATTCAACGACGATCAAAATCAACAACCTTAATCAATCGTTTAGCGAACTTTACTTTATTTCGTAGCAGTTTTTTTCAAACCTTTTCTACTACACTGATTTGAAACTTTACAGCTGACTATACATATATATGCGTTGCAATAATATATCCATATAAAATTGGCGTTACGCAACATCTACTAAAAATTACATAAAAATATTTTTCATTCAAGGCTAGAGCTTTTGGTTACTCAAAAGTAACGCACACACACATTCATGTGTGTGTGTGCGTGTGTAAAAAAACTTTATAAGCACGTACATAAAAATATTGACGCAATGCTTACTTGTGCAAGCCTTTGCCTTAGAGATAAACGAACTCAGCGGGAAATGAATAATAGAATTGGAAAAATTATAGAGAAACTGCACGTGATTGGCAAAGATAACAGAACTCATTAATAATTTCGCGCAATTAACTATTCGTTAATAAAAAAATTCTAAAAATTGAACACTCCTAGATCAATAGAAATTGAATTTGCGTAGCGTTTTTCATCGGTTTTTATAGAAATGAATGTGTTAAATCGTTAGCAAAAATTACGCACAATTTTCCTATCCAATCAAAATATCATTATAACTATCCGTTATAAAGAAATGAATATTTAAGATAACGAGTAGACACAAGAAAAACTACCCTTTGAAAAGGGCTATGTAGCTGTAGCTGTTATATATTTGAGATATAGATGTATTGGTATTTGTATGTGTGTATACGAGGAGTGTCGTGTAAGGCCCTCGCCACATATGCGCATACGCGCGCGTACGAGGGCGTACAAACGCGTACAAATCGCTAAAAATTTTGATAGTGCCAACAACAGAAAGTTACTATTATTCTATTATTATTTATTATAGTTATTATTAACTTTCTGTTGTTGGCACTATCAAAATTTTTAGCGATTTGTACGCGTTTGTACGCCCTCGCACGCGCGCGTATGCGTATATGTGGCGAGGGCCTTAAAGATTGGTCGTAGTGTGATCAGGTAGCCAGGCTCACACTCAAGAGAGGTTGGAAAGGTAGAAAGCGTTTCGTCCCGATGCTACCGACTGGACTCATCATTGAGGCTCGACGGCCGGTAACATCTGCCTCATCTCTTGCCACTCGGTTATCTGGGGCTATTACAATAATAATAGATCTATATTACCGACTGATCTTTCAGATTCATGTATCGCTATAGTGAAAAATAATATTTATTCTTTAACTGATAGTTATAATAATATTTTGATTGAATAGAACAAATTTTCACTAATGATTAAGCAGGTTTATGTATGTAGAAATAGTATTTAAACGCCATACAGATACAATTATCGACAATCTATAGGTCAACAACTTTGGCTATTTTTTATTAATTAAAACGAAATTGCGTCGAATTAATAATCGGTTTTCCTAACTTACTAACGAAAGCAGTTTTTCCATAATTTTTTGAAACGATTACCATCGATTTCACGCTGAATTCCTTTATCCTTGCCTGAGGGCCTTTCGACACTGAGAAATATTCCTGTGATATTCCTTGTCCTATATGATTTTGTACCTCTTGGAACATTAGTATAGTTTACCATCTACATCTCTACGTATTCGGTGGTTTGAGAAGTGCAGAAAGTACCATTTCATGTAACAACCTCAAAAGTGATAACAAAATCACGCTAATTTACAAACATTTTTTATAATATTAATTATTGATTATAAATTTGAATATTTTCTAGACTTTTATTAATATATACGAGTTGTATTCAAGTTTGTCTAATCATTTTGAGGTTATGTCATTTGTCATTTTTAGTTGGCAGCAGCAAAAACTCACTAGAAATTGCATGCTTGTCGCGTACAATTTCCATGTTTATCGATAAATCAGCGAAACGTTGTAAAAAATAAATTAAGTTGAGATAGTTTTTGTTTATAGTATTTGGGTGTCACTCTCGTATTTCTTTGCTTTATAATTTCGCAAATTTTAGTATGACTGAAAGTAATTATATAGTAAATCCCCTTATATTATTATCTCCTTATAAAAAAGTGATGAAAGCCATATTGAAGCATTTTATTCGTGACCTGATTGTATAATAGTATAATAGTATAATAGCATTATTGATCTTAGGTCGAATTAATCTTTTGAATAATTTTTCCGATATATCTTGAAATGAGCAAAAGTTCATCGATTTTTGAGAAAAAATGGTGCATGTTCTATTTTTATTCATCAATAAAGACTGTTTTTCGTTTACGAGATATTTTATTAAGGATAGCATTATTTGTAAAACGAAAAATAAAATTCAATTCATATAAAACTTGATAATTAATACTGTAATTAAAAAAAAGAATTATGGCTTTTCATATGTATTCAACATATTAATCACACTGTCGACAGAGTTACAAATTCATTAAAAAAATCAGTAGAAACTCAGTTTTAATGCAAAATAAACATCAATTATCTCACAGTTTTATAATAATAAACATAACTTCCCACAATCTTTAGAATTAACATCTCATGCCCAAAACACCCGAAAGAATATGATGGCATGAACCAATCGATATGCCAACATCATTTGCAATTTCACTGACGGTGATTTGACGATTTCTTAACACAATTTCTTTCACTGCTTCAACGTGTGATGTGCTGGGACGTCCAGAGCGAGGTTCCTCTTCGACATTGTCTCGGCCTTCTTGGAACATCTTATACCACTTATACACATTTTGCTTACTAAGAGTAGACTGACCGTATGCAATTGTTAACATTTCAAAAGTCTTACAGCACTTGATTCCATTTTTTTCACAAAATTTAATGCAAACTCATTGCTCCATTCTTTTCGATAGAAGAAAATCACCGAGCACAGCAAACACTTCGAACCTCTGACGCCTCTACCAGAAAAATAACACGTGCAATATAGTCAAAACTAAGACTTGTAAATCTGACGCCCAAAAAAATTTTTTAATCATATTTTTGAGTTGTCATGAGCTAAAACGTTCTCTTCCTTTTTCCGGATTATGTCTCCGCTTGAAATTTTATTTCCGGATTTTCCGTTTTTAAGAAAATTGCGAAAAAAAATCGGGCGTTCGTACAGCGCGCAAAATGCATTAAACATTTTTCTCCTGTTTAAAAAGAAATAATATCGATAGCGGATGATAGCTCCTTATTCCCGGATTACGAAACAATTTTCCTTTTGTCGATTTTCTATCCAAAATTGAGGAAAATGTAAAAATTAGTAATATGCGGCAGTTAGTCGATAAAACAGGTCAAACGTTTGCTAATCACCAGATATCCCTATAAGTTCTACATTGCGTAATTATAATAATAAATAATTCAAATTCTACTCAATTAATCTTTCACATTTTGTGTACATATACATAAATAATTTTTTCTAAGGTTTCCTATAAGTTTGTCAACATGTCAATTTTATAATTAATATTTTAACTCTATAAAATAACATAATTTTGAACAAAGTAATAAAAAAATTGAATTGACTAGTTAAAATTGAAAAAAACAATCATTGATCAAAAACTTATAGCTTAGTTTTATATTTGTTGAATTATTTAATAACGAACTTAAATTTACTTCCATTCTTCTTAACAATATAAAGTAATAATCCATTGTAGCCTATTATAAAAATACTTCAATATACAGGTCAGGTTAAAATAAACTATATTTGTTTTGTCAAAAATATATAATTTATTTTTCCTTGCTTATGTTACATATACAATATTTATTGATAAACATTGTGAACAATATGTCGTATTATAAAATATATTAAAAACTATAAAACAATAAGGTTGGATTATTTATATTTTTATATGCAAATACCTAATCGAAATCATTATCCACAAAATTAGCAAAATTGTTGCTACATTGAAACAAATATATTTTTGACAAAACAAATATAGTTTACTTTAACCTGACCTGTATATTGAAGTATTTTTACAATATGCTACAATGGATTATTACTTTATATTTTTAAGAAGAATGGAAGTAAAATTAAGTTCGTTATTTTCCTTCATAATATTTATAAAAGCTCTGACCCGTCAAACTTTGTCTTCTTTATTTTCATCATCGGGATGATGGAGTTTTAATTTAGATTTGATCATTTCAAACTGTTTGATGCCCATATATGATGCCACTATATCTGATCTCAAAAATTCATCTTTTGACCAATAATATCTTTGAGATAATTTCTTATCGAAGCAACTGAAAATTATAATTCCAATAAATTTATCCAAGTCTTCCAAAGAAAGTTCATAGCCATTTGCTTTTGTACAATCAATGATATGTTTTTTAATTTCAAGTGAAAAAAAACTCAAAATTTCTGTCAATGAACTATTCAAAATTTTTTTGCGATCACACTCTGAAATAATTCAACAAATAGTTTATTTATTTATAATTTATATGTTACATTTGGATTTCATTTCTTACATTACTATTTGTGTCTCGTATCCAGTTTGTGTAGTTGATAATGTATGTATTCTATGTGTGTGTGTATGTGTGTGTGTATGTGCGTGTGTGCGCGCGCGCGTGTGTGTGTGTGTGTGTTGTGTATATATATACATATGTAGGTGTGTCTGCAACTCTTGCGTCTCTGTCTTCTGCGCCTGTCCTTTCAGCTTTTCTTCCCATGTTTTCTATTAATTAATCTTCTCTTCCTCTCTCTCTCCGAAATCTGCCTTTTCCGCTCTTCTGTTTTTCTCTTTCTTGCATATTTTCTTTTCAACTTTTTCCTTTGTTACTTTCTTTTGCCTTTTCACCTTTGCCTTTCCTTTGCTTTTGCTCTCATTCTTGCTAATCATTTCATCTATCTTTCTCCTTATTAGGGCTTTGATACCTTTTTCTTATTTCCTATTGCTCCCTCTGCCTTTCCTTTCCTCAACCTCACTTATTTTTCCTTAGTATCTTATAATTTGTCTTCTAATTTACCTTTTTCTTTCTCTTCTTCGATTCTTCTTCTTTTCCATTTTGCTCCATCCTCCAATACCTGCTTCCTCTCGCTTGTGTAGTTGCTAGTAATTGTGTTTTGTGTGTGTGTGTGCATGTGTATGTTTATGTTTGCGCGTGTGTGCGTGTTTTGTGTGTATGTGTGTGTATGTAGATGTGTCTGCGAGTCTTGCTTCTCTGTCTTCTGTTTCCGTCTCTCCTTAGGGTCTTGCAGTTTCGTCTTCTTGTTTTTCTTTTTCTTTCTTCTCTTCATTTCTTCTTCTATTCCATTTTATCTCCATCATCCATGCTATCTTTTCTTTGCTTCCTATTATTATTTTTTCCCATTCTTCCCCTTCCTTTCTGCTTTTTTCACATTTTTCTACTATGTGTTTCCAATTTTCTTCCTCTTTCATACACATTCTGCATCTCTTATTTTCTTCTTTTTTCCAATACCTGCTTCCTCTCGTTTCATTACCTAACCTAAACCTTTCCCTTATTTGTAGGCCTTTTATTCTTCCCTCTCCTTGAATTTCCTTTAACCTATACCTTTTCATTTCTTCTTTCAGTTCTTTCCACTCGTTTATGTATCTTGATTTTTCTAGTTTTTCTTCTAGTTCTTTTTCTTCTTTTTTCTTTAACTCATCTCTTATTTCTTCCCAAAACTCTTTCCTCATATCATCTCCCTCTTCCCTCTCTCTATATATTTTACTTTTTTCTAGCCTTTCCTCT